CAAGTCACGAGGGGCATTTGTTGGCACATAAATTTCAACTAAATTTATGACACGTATAGAGCCTATAATAGAAAAGTTGTAGGTAATCACTTCCTAAAAAGATCAATATGATCCGTTGAAGTGCATAAATAAAACGACGTTGTATCTCAATGACGTTATTCAAGATGCTCAAGTGACACGTGGAGCCTACGAAAGATGACACCTGTAGAGCCTACAGCAAGGACAGCACACAGGATGAAACCCCAAAGATCAATCCGGTTAATCAGATATACGATTAATCAGATAGCACTATTATTCAAAATTCAAATAGCGCTATCATTCAATTTGAAATTCAAATTGAAGATGAGGCATTCCTATCACCTGATGGCCCTCCATAAATATGAGGACCATCACACAAAACAAGTGATCAGAAAATCAGAAGTGAAAAGGTCAGAGAGAGAGAGAAAGAAATTGAGAGCTAAAGAAATCGTTGCAAGAAAGAAGAAGAGAAACCTACAGAACTCAAGAGCCTACGCTAATGGCGATGAATAGGTAAAGGATTCCAAACCCAAGAATTGTATTTTGTATTCGAGGGTTCAAAACCCATAACAATTTCAATAAAATATTTATTTTTCTTAAATTATTTTTTGTTGTTTATTTTGTTCTTCATTAATCGGAGGTTTCATTTGTATAAAATGTGTAATTAACGATCTGAAATACAGATCGGAAATAAGAACCTGATATTCAAATAATCTACACTGTTTAGTCTAAAAACTAAACAATGGACATTTGTAACATAAATTTTGAAATGTGTTGAAACACTTCATGTTTTAAAATTTGTGTCTACAAATTCTGGCACGTCCAGTGGGACTTATTTCTCCTCCCATCTTTTGAAAAACAAAAAAATATATATATAGTTAAAACTTACTGACGAATTCTTTTGTTATAGGAATGCTGAAGTAACTGTCAAGCGACAAACCTACACTCCAGTGGGGCTTCCATCACCCAAGGGGCTCCAGTGCGAATGCTCTTGGCTGTCCCAAAGATAGAACGAGCGAAATCCTAGAAAGATGCACTTCTTTCCCCTATCACCCAAGGGGCTCCGGAGCGAATGAGCTCTTGGCTGTCCCGAAAGTAACTGGTATGACGAAGAAAGTCACACTTCTCCAGAAAGTTGAAAGTTTGAGAAAGATTACCGAAGATTATGTGAAAACGTCAAAGCAGTACGCAACCGTGAGGGTCACAATCCGAACGAAGAGCTTTCTAATTCAGGCAAAGGAGGCTAATCAGTTTGCAATTACGACTTTTGTTGCAACTTCAACAGGGGCAACAAAAAATGTTGTGGCCCAACTACTCAAAAAGGTAGAAGACTCCATTAAAATGGTGGAGTTTGCCCAGAAGAAAGCCTCTGCTGAAAACATGGCCATCATTAGGGCCATTGGGAGGAGGGTGATGACCCAAACTCCTGTTGATGGAAAAAAGGCCCCTGTTGTTGAAAAAACAGTTTCGGCCTACGAACCAATAGTTCTGGTCAGAGCACAAAATCGGTCAAACCAAATCTCAGTCAATTCTCAGGAGCCAAAGGAACACTCGTTGGCTCGACATGCTTCGAATAAGGAACACCCGTTGGCCCGATAGAATAAGGAATACCCGTTGGCCCGATAAGGTTCGAATAAGGAACACCTGTTGGCCCAACGAGATTTGAATCAACATCAATTGATCTGCTCTAAAAATGTAGGGATTGTTCATGAGGAATTTGCAGAAACGCAAACGGTTCCTTCTATGCCATCCGGTCCAGTTTCGAAAAGACAAAGGCGAAGAAGAAATAAGGCCTTAAAGAAACTGGAACTAAGAACAGTGGCAACAAATATTATAGGAGCTATTGAAAGGGCTCTCTCGAAAGATGAACCCCAAAAACAAATTGAAAGTCCTGTCTTTGTTGGAAAATCCAAGGTGGATGAGGGTAAGAAACCCTTGGGAAATATTTCTACTTTGGTTGAACTATATATGGAGGGAATAAGAAAAGGGCCTGTAACAAGGTCCATAACCCGTCAGGCTCAAAACAAAGCATCGCAGTCAGATGCTTCAAATATGAGTAATGTTGTGGGGGTTGATAATCCTTTATACGAACAAGATGATTCTATCTCGTTTGTTTCAATGACTATTGGAAACAATGAATTGAAAGATATTAACAAAGTTGCAGTTATGATGACTGAGGTTGAGAAAGACGGTGAAAATTCGCAGGTCCAACAAGACCAAGGTCTCAAGGAAAAAGTGGTAGTCCTACAAGAACAACTTGAGAGAAGAGAACGGGAAATGGCTGCGATGTTGGAGCAAATGCAACAGTTGTAGGCCCAAATGACAGGACCAGGAAATGCACCCAAACAAATGACGACACAACCTGTTGTGGGGACATCCGTAGGCATACAAAGCACACTAGCCCCAGGGGGCAATGGTCCTTGTTACTCCGATCTAACCAGTGGTGGTATGAATCCAGTGCTCATGGCCATGATTGATGATATGGTGAGAAGACAAGTAAAGAAAGTCAAAGAAAAAGATGATGAAAACTTTCGAATAATTACAAAACCTTACCCAGCATGGGTAGATGCTATTCCATTCCCTTCTGGTTTTTCCCAACCAGATTTCAAAATGTTTGATGGAACAGGAGATCCAAGACAACATGTGGCTCATTTTCTTTCAAGGTGTGGGCCAATAGCCCAAAATGAGGCCTTGTGTCTGCAGCTATTTGTTCAGTCACTTGAAAGTTCTGCATTTACTTGGTATGCTAACCTTACTGAGGGATCAATCCTAAATTGGGATTCCATGGTGAAACAGTTCCTTAAACAGTTCTACAACACACAAAGGCAAGTTGGAGTACCATAACTGATTGAGACCAAGCAACGTGACAATGAGTCTGTTACAAATTTCATTGCAAGATGGCGAGCTTTGACATTTGCTTGTCCTCAAAAGTTTACGCAATTAGAGTTAATTCGGATGTGCCTTAACAACTTTCGACATGAGCTCTCTACGGCTCTTATGGCTCAAACTTTTGAAGGATTCAATGACCTATGCACTAAAGCTCATGATATGGAGCTGCATCTAGCTAAACAAAGGAGGCCTAGGACCGTTGAAAGGGTTAAGTCCTCGACTGCATCTACAATCGAAACCAGAAAGAAGGGTCCCGTTGTAGTAGGGGCTAAAAAGCTCAAAGAATTTAAAAAGGTGACTATGAACGAGAGGTTGGAGAAGAAATATTCTTTCATGGATGATCTGGTCGAAGACCTATTTGAAGATCTATTGGAGCAAAAGTTGATTGCTCTCCCTAAGGTGAAAAGACCGCATGAGGTAGGAAAGACCAACGATCCAAAGTATTGCCCCTACCATCGTTTGATTAGCCATCCGATAAAAGAGTGCTTTGTTCTGAAAGATAAAATTCAGGAACTTTTGGACTCTAAAATTATCGAACTCCCTCCTCAAGAGAAAGCATCTGCTAACCCAATCACTATCGACAATGATAATGAAGGTGAATGGGTTGTTTATCAGTCAAAAAGCATGAAGAAAAAACAAGATGCCACAACGAAAGCTAGAAGTGTGGTTGATTCAACAACACATGGGCCAAAAGTTTCCAAAAAGCAAAAACCAAAAGTTTATAGGAAACAGAAAAAAGCCAAAGTAAGTAAGAGAAAAGGAAATAAGAACCCAAAGAAGGAAAAATGGGAGAAATTGGTCCCTGATGGGCAGTTAGAGCAAGGTCCTCTTGTCCCAATCACATTGGAGGAATTTCTACCTTCAAAATTTCAATCTGTGGAGTTGCAGACATACTTTGATAAAAAAAAGGGAGGAAAAGTTTACTTTGGGCCCTTGCCTAACCATCATTATTTTGAGTGATGACGAGGAAGATGAGGGTGAAGTTGGTTCAAAAGTTAGGGAAGGGGATTGCATTACATCTCCTATCTGTATACCTGACTCACCAGAGTATACACCAACTTCTCCAGAATACACACCAGCCTCTCCAGAATATACACCAGCTTCTCCTAAGTATACACCAGAAGCCTTTTCTCCAGAGTATTCGCCAGTACCACTAATATACTATCAAAGTACTCCAGAATATGTAAGGGGAACAGAACAAGGAGACACTGGGTGTAGGTCCGACTCTGAGTTTGTGAAAAAGGCAAAAAAACGACTACACTTCAAGGACGATGAGGTGAATGGCAGGTGTATGTCGGATAATGAAATATGGAAGCATTCAAGTAAACAAGTAAAGTCATCTCAAGTCGTGGATCCTAATGAAGATTGGGAACTTGACTTTTCTCCTGATAGTTCACCATACACATCCACAGTGATCTTTCGTAAAGATGTGACTCCCGGTACCTAAGAAATGGGAGAATAATGCAGCTCCAATAAGATGGAGAAGTGACTAATGTTGATGATCACCCTGCAGCTGGACCAGTTAACATGGTCCAAAATAAGTGAGGGAATAAAAGAAGTTGAGGTCAACGAAAAGGCGGTTGCTGAAGTATGCCAAACTTATTTGACCTACAGGAGGAAATTACGAAATCCTCAGGACCCTCAAACGTCAGAAGTTCCACAGGTTTTGCTGGAGGAGGAGCAAGTGAAATATGATGTACTAACTCATCTAAAGAAAATTTCAGCATTGTTGAGTGTATATGATGCACTGAAAATGTCTCCAAAGCTTCGAAAGTCTTTAATATATGCCCTGTCCAAGCTAGAGGATTTCCACAAAGAAATCGATGGTAGAAATCAAGAGAAGGCAACTACATGCATGGCCATGGTAACCTTTGGTGACAAAGACATGTGTGCTGAAATGACAGACCATAATCGGCCTTTTGTTTATCACTGGGCTTATCCATGATGTGAAAATTTCTCGAATTCTAGTTGATGGAGGATCTGCGGTAAACCTCCTACCTCGGAGGGCCTTCAACTTATTAGGGGTTCAAATTTCACAACTTCGCCTAAGTCGTTTGGTCATTCAAGGATTTAATCATAATGAACAACGCCCAATGGGGAAGATTGAATTGCGAACCAAGTTTGGAGATATTGAAGAAAGCACTGAGTTCTTGGTCATTGATGTAAACACCTCTTACAATGCTTTGCTTGGGAGACCATGGATGCATAATCATCATGTAGTGCCATCAACTTATCACCAATGTATTAAGTACCCGTTGCCTTCACCCAAAAAAGAGGGGACAATTGTGGCTGACAATGATCCATTTGGAGAAGTAGAAGCCTACTATGCTGATGCTCGCTTCTATACAAAGACTTCACAAAGAAAGGGAAAAGATGTGAAGAAGTCTGAAGATACTCCGAATATCAAAGACGCTCTAGAGTCTACTCCAGTTTCAACAAAAAGAACTCTTCGATATGTGCCAAAGTCCGAAAGGAAACTGGGGGCAAAGGCTCTAGCCCCAATAAATCCAACTTTGGATCTCAAGGGTGAGTTCACGTTGCCATTAAGGAAGACAGAATGCACCTGTGTGGAGAAATATAATAAGATTGTGGTCCTTTCTAAAGGAAAAGGGTCGAAACCCATCATATTCCACTCACTTGGAGATGTTGAACAGAAAGTGAAAGTTGAACAAGTGCCAGAAGAAAACATCTCGAGTTTTGAGAAGCCTACCTTCAGTGCAGAAATCACACAAATGTTGGAAAAAGTTGGTTTAGATCTTGAAAAAATACCAGGAACAATGACACCCTTTGACTTTGCATTAACACCTTCACAGAGGCAGGCTATCCAGCAAAGCGGTATTATCACCGCCAGGACAGAAGGGTTAGGCTATCAGGGAGATGAGGAAAAATTTCCAGTAAACGTGACTATCACTCAATATGTGTTGGAAGATGTTGACCAAGATGAAGTTCAACCTGCACCAACAGAATTTGAAGCAGGAGGCCAAGCCACCGTGGATGACCTTCGTGAAATAAATATGGGTGATGAAGGAGAAAACAAACCAACCTTCATTAGTGCAAATTTAAAGGAAGAAGAAGCTCGGCAATATATTTCCTTTTTAAGGGAGTATCGTGACATATTTGCATGGAACTACAGTGAGATGCCTGGTCTTAATCCAGAGATTGCAGTCCATAAGCTTGCAATTCACCCTGAGAAACGGCCAGTTAAACAGCCTCAGAGGCAAACTCGACCAGAGCTTATAGCCCAAATTGAAGCCGAAGTCGACAAGCTTATCAATGCAGGATTCATCAGGGAAGTCAAATATCCAACCTGGCTAGCAAACATAGTGTCATTCAAGAAAAAGAATGGTCAAATCAGGGTTTGCATTGATTTTCGTGATCTCAATGAGGCTTGTCCTAAAGATGACTTTCCTTTGCCCATCACTGAACTTCTTGTAGATGCAAACTACTGGGTATGAAACCTTGTTTTTTATAGATGGATACTCAGGATACAATCAAATCCGAGTGGCACCTGAAGATGAAGAAATGACTGCATTCAGGACTCCGAGATGAGTCTTTTGCTATAAGGTAATGCTTTTTGGCCTGAAAAATGCTGGGGCCACATATCAAAGGGCGATGACTGTAATTTTTGGTCATATGCTCCATGATACCATCGAATGCTATGTTGATGATCTTGTCGTCAAGACAAAGGAAAAGGAAAACCATGTAAAAGATTTGAGAAAAATCTTCGAACGTTTGAGGAGGTACAAACTCAAGATGAACCCACTAAAATGTGCATTTGGAGTTTCATCAGGAAAATTTCTTGGGTTTGTGGTTCGAAACAAAGGGATTGAAATTGACCCTATCAAATTAAAGTCATTGTTGAAATGCCTCCTCCACGAAATTTAAGGGAATTGAAGGGACTACAAGGGAGATTGGCCTATATCAGAAGATTTATTTCTAACTTGGCTGGTCGATGTTTGCCATTCTCAAGATTGATGAAAAAGGGCGTTCCATTTGAATGGGATCAGCAGTGCCAAAATGCTTTTAATAGTATTAAAGAGTATCTTTTGAAGCCTCCAGTACTCATAAGCCCAATAAAAGGGAAACCACTTTTGTGGTACATAACAGCCTTGGATGGTTCGTTAGGGACACTGTTGGCACATCATAATGAGCATAGGAAAGAAAATGCCTTGTATTACTTGAGTCGTACTTTGGTTGGGGCAGAAGTCAATTTCTCCCCTATCGAAAAGACATGTCTTGCCTTGGTGTTCGCCTTGCAAAAACTAAAGCACTATGTCTTGGAACAAGAAGTCAAGTTGATATCAAGAGCAGACCCCTTGAAATATATACTTTCACGGCCCATACTTTCAGGAAAAATTACAAAGTGGGCTGTAATTCTCCGACAATTCGCAATTGAATATGTTCCCCAAAGAGCTATAAAGGGGCAGGCTCTAGCAGATTTTTTGGCAGCACATCCTATACCTGATGACTCACCTCTAGTAACTGATTTACCAGATGACGAGGTTATGCAAGTAGAAATTCAGAAAGGATAGGAGATATATTTTGATGGAGCTTCAAGGAGTCCAGATGGCAAGAAGCAAGAAAATCCTAAAAATAATAAAGCTGGAATTGGAATTGTGTTTGTGACTCCAGACAATGCTATAATCACCCATTCTTTCGCTTTAAGTGAAGGATGCTCCAATAATGAGGCGGAATATGAAGCTGTAATTGCTGGATTAGAATTGGCATTACAAATTCCTATTGAAGAACTCTCAATTTATGGAGATTCGAAACTGGTGGTAAAGCAACACCGTAGAGAATACATTGTTAAGAAAACAAGTCTCATCCCGTATCATGAAAGGGTTGATCAATTGCTTTCGCAATTCAGGAAAACACATATTTTCCATGTGAAGAGAAGAACAAATACTCGAGCTGATTCACTTGCAAGTTTGGCTGCATCACTCACCTTACTAGATAGAAAAACAATTACTATCACGGTAGGTGAAAGAAGGGTGTTACAACCTTTAAAAGAGGTTTCTGACTTGGTTCCAATCTTGGTCATCACCACGAAAGGAGAAAACAAGGAGGATTGGCGGGAACCATTCATAGCTTACCTCCAACATGGTAGGCTACCTTAAGATAAAGTAAAAAAAATTGAAGTGAGACGCAGGGCTACCAAATTCATCCTGTGGAAAGATAGAACGTTATACAAAAGGTCTTTGGATGGAATGTTCATGCGGTGTATAGCCAAGGAGCGTATTCAAGAGGTAATGGCAGAAATACATGCAGGTGTATGTGGGGCACACCAAAGTGGACCTAAATTACATATGCAGCTAAAACGGTTGGGATACTATTGGCCGACTATGATTGTAGCTTCCATAGATTATGCTCAAAGATGCCAAGTCTGCCAATTCCATGGAAACTTTCTCCACCAACCCCCAGAGCCTTTACATTTAACAACTTGTTCTTGGCCATTTGCAGCATGGGGTATGGACATTATTGGTCCTTTTGTACCTCCATCTTCAGCAAGATATCGATACATCCTAGCTGCAACTGACTATTTTTCAAAATGGGCAGAGGCTGTGGCTTTAAAGGATATAAAAAGCACAGTTGTCTCCGAGTTCATCCGAACCCATATCATTTACAGGTTTGGGATTCCAGAAAGTATCATCATGGATAATGGACAGCCATTCAGGAGTGATGCTTTGAACAAGTTATTTGCCAAGTACAAAATCAAAAACAACCATTCATCAAGATATCATGAACCTGCCAATGGTTTGGCAGAAGCTTTCAACAAGACATTGTGCAAAATTCTCAAGAAGATGGTGGATAAGAACAAAAAAGCTTGGCACGAAAAGTTACAAGAAGCTTTGTGGGCTTATCGAACTTCGCACAGAACTCCTACTCAAGCAACCCCTTATTCGTTGGTCTTTGGAGGAGAAGCAGTGTTACCACTTGAGGTTCAAATACCATCATTGCAAGTGGCAATACAAGAGTCCTTAACAGAAGATGAAAGTGCAAGAGTGAGGTTGGCTGAGCTCGAGACCGTAGATGAAAGAATGTTGTATGCTCAACAGAATTTGGAGATCTATCAACAAAGGATGGCAAATGCGTTCAATAAAAGGGTGAGGCTTCGCTCCTTTAAAAAGGGAGACTTGGTACTAATAGTTAGAACACCCATAGTAGTCTCACGAAGAACTAAAGGAAAACTTGAGCCCAAATGGGAAGGACCATATGTGATTGAGAAGGTTTATTATAATGGGGCCTATTTGTTGATAACAATGGATGGTGACAGAATCATTCCCCCAACCAATGCAAGGTTCTTGAAGAGATATTATCCTTAAGAAAGCCTGCTAGGTTGAAAACCCAAAAAGGCGGCCTAGGAAAAAGTTAAGACAAAAAAAAAAAAAAAAAAAAAAAAACCATCAACGGTATTGTATGTAGTTAAACTGCTAAAATATCCCACCGAAATCTAAGGTGGTAAAACATTGGATACTCCTAACCCGCAAGAGTATAAACTGTGTACGGCCAAACAAAAGTCAAAAACCACCAGCGGTATTGTATGTGGTTAAACTGCTAAAATATCCCACCAAAATCTAAGGTGGTAAAACATTGGATACTCCTGTACGGCCAAACAAAAGTCGAGGACCACCAACGGTATTGTATGTGGTTAAACTACTAAAATACCTCACCGAAATCTAAAGTGATAAAACATTGGATACTCCTGGCCCACAAGAGTATAAACTGTGTATGGCCAAAATAAGACAAATTAATGTATTGTATTGAGAAATTTCATATAAACAAATAAATCTATTGTGTAGAGCTAAAATAAGAAAAATCAATGTATTGTATTGAGAAATTTTCATATAACAAATAAATCTATCATTGAGCGAAATTTCATAAATACATTATGTTCGGATGAATAAAAAAATAAAAGTGCATTCATTCATTAAAAGAAGCCTTAGCCCTTTCAAAAGCACGTTCCACAACACTGTGTTGTCCATTCTTCTTCTTGTGTTGGCTCAAAACATTTAGAGCAGTTTGCACGTCTTCTTCTGATTTAGAAACACTCTTGGAAGCTTGTGCAAAATCACACATAAAGGATGCATGTTCCGCTTGGGTGGATGACAATTCCTCTTCAAGTTGTTTGAGTAACTCTTTGGTTTGAATAATCCTTTGATTAAGACCTGCAATGTGCTCATCCGACTTGATAATTGAAGCAGACAACTACTCATGTTCGCCAGAAACTTTGTCAAAATGAAGTTTTTTCTCATAATATTGGGCCTCAAATTCTGCAGTAGACAAGTTGGAAGAATCTGCAAGTTGGGTTTTCAAAGCAAAGCACCCAAGGAATATCTTCACCTTCTCATAAAAGGAGATGAAAGCTACACCCAAACTCTTCAAAATCATAAAAACGTTGTTTGCTACAACAATCATGCCATTAACATCCGTCATTGATTGGAGAGAAATAGTAAGACCTTTCTGAATATGGGTGGCTGCTTCGTTAAAAGAAGTTCCCAAAAGAAGGTTAGATGGAGCAACGGGTGCTTCGAGTTTGTCAAATAATTTGTTAACCCCATTTGCTTCAAGTAAGTCTGCAAGAATTTGAGCCTCTTCCAAGGTATCAGAAGTAATTTCGTCTGTCTCTTCCAATGTGTCAGAAGTATTTTCTGTGAAAATAGAAGGAAATACTCAATGAAAACGTAGAAGGTAAAAACAATATATATATATATATAGATGAATGAAGTATACCTTGGTGTACGGCTTGAGAAGACTTAGGTAGAGGAGACAAGTTGTGATTCCTACAAGTAGACTATGGATTTTGTGGCATGATCTAAAGAGAAAAGAGTTCTTTGAGTATCTATACATGATGAAATAAAATGAGGTACAAGGAATGAATAAGAATACCCTTAAAGGTAGCCAATGGCATATGCGAGGCAGTTGGGGAAGTTCGAGGCGCAGTGCTTAAGAAAATGAAAGGTATTAAAAAAAATAAAAAATAAAAATAAAATAAATAAAAAAATAAAAATAAAAAAAGAATTATACCTTTCTCTAATAGCTTGGATGACTCGTTCGAAGGAGAAGAAAAAACTACATTTGCTGAAGGCGATTTACTCATCTTAGTCGGTGTGCCATCTAAAAGAGGGGTGTAGTCATAAAACTCATCTTCACTCTCACTACTTCTATTGAGAGAACAATCAAAAGATTTGGTAGGAGAAAGAATTTCAACACTCTTAATGCGAATACGACCCAAGGCAGTTAATTCATACCCATCTCCCTCAAAGAGTTCTTGAATCATATTCTCATCTTTATCTTCAAGAAAATAGTACAAGTATTGATCCATTGGGGTTTTGGTCGCTACGGTGGGTTGGGAAGTTCCTGTACAATCACTGATAGACATAGTCTTTGGAAAAAGCTTTGCGAGACAAACAAATTGAGGGCCATAATCTACTTGCTCAAAGCTAAATCTCATTTTAAATTGAGGATTACACATATCCTCCAAAAGATGAAGGAGATCTGAAACCGAGTAACTAGATCGAGAAGGAGCAATAAGTGGTCGACTATTATCCATTCTCTGAGGTGATGAAGCTTCCAGAGCAATAAGTGAAGATGATGACCTAACTTTAGCGTAAGAAGGATTCTTCGTCTTTCGGTCTTTAATTGGCATATCCAGTTTCTCTTGCGTGAAGATTTCGGCTGGGAATGAGTAACATATTGGAGCACGGTAAAGGAAGTTCCCAACCATCAATTGGCATAAGGCATGGTTACGTGAGAAGTAGATCGGGAGCCTGGTAACTCCAATGAGACTTTTGTACTATAGTGTAGCATTTGGCGCCAGTTGTAATAAAATTTAGACCACTCAGAGGGCTGCCGACAAGATACATTAAGCGGTATAGGGCATGCTT